GTGGCTGCGGTGTGATGTCCACGCGTGTGGCTGCGGTGTGATGTCCACGCGTGTGGCGGCGGTGTGATGTTCACGCGTGTGGCTGCGGTGTGATATTCACGCGTGCGGCTGCGGTATGATGTCCACGCGTGTGGCTGCGGTGTGATGTTCACGCGTGTGGCTGCGGTGTGATGTCCACGCGTGTGGCTGCGGTGTGATGTTCACTGTGTGAATGCATTCTGTATAAGTTGTAGATTTAAAACGGGCAAGTACACATGGTCAAGCGAGATGCTCCATCCCAAGGGAATATCTCAGTAAAGCATCTGAAATAAAACGGAATTATCTGTTATCAATACAATTCGGCTGGCTCTGCTGATGATGTATGCTCTCTCTCAGAGGCGAGGTAAGCCTTCCAGATGAACGCAAGCCTACGCTGAATAGACCAATTATTTGTGAGCACGCTGTGCAAATCGCGTCGTGATGTCATTTAATATTAATGAAGGATCGTGCGTTCTCTTTTCGAGTAAGATTGCCTGTTTATTTTTTTCCCCGCCAATTTAAATTCTCGTGAGCAGAATCAAATCAATGCGCGCCGTGTGTCGCAGCTGTAAGCGCTCAGCGTTTCATTTCCCCATTTATTTTTGGTAAAATATTAATTGTCGCAAAAATGTGCTCCGCTGCATTTCTCAAACAGTTTGCGTTTCAAAGAGATCCCTGCTGGCCCCGCGGCCATTACCCCGCGAGCTGCCACGCCGAGTCCCCCCGAGACGCGCTAATCGGAGCCTAGGGAGCACCGCGGTGCTCTCGAGGTGGCGGGGCCGAGGCGCTCCTCGTGACTGCCGCAGTGACAAATGCGGCACTGCCACTGGGGACGATACCGCCACAGCGGTGATGGGGCGGGCAGGCGACGTTCGTGGGCATCATGCAACAACACATGAGGGTACAGTATTCGATTCTCGGCCACGGTCAACATCAGTGGCAGTTCTCTGAATCGGTCCTGGGCCTCTCCTAGGCCGACTCAGCCTTAAATAGGGTTGCCATCTGTCGAGATTTGAGCCGGACAGCCCGGGAATTCGTGTCTGTGTTCAGGTGGCAGGGATTGATTTGTACCGACATCTGGCACCGGTGTTGCTGTGTTTGAACTGCATTACACGATACTGCTCAACGTTGATAGACCCAGCCTGACTGAGCAACCTGTCCGGGGTTGGTCTAGAGTGGCGACCCGAGTCGTACCGCTATCGGCAAGGGGACTTTGAAGTAAGCGCCGTGAGCCCCGGCACCCAGACCCTGCAGCAGACTCTGGCTCGTCAGGCACCGAGGGGGCTATGCACCGGACTCTGTGACCACGGCTGCGCTTGCTTTAAACCCCCTATCAGGAGCCGCTGTGCACACAGTGCAGGGGCTGTGCTCGCCAGCTGCACCAGGACGAGGGGGGGTGCTGCTTTACAAACCTTGCACGTCTTTTCCGCCGGCAGGGAGGGCATATTACAGGAAGAAGAGTTAAAGCTCCATTTTCTACAAGATTCTTCAAGCCTAAAATGCCAATACTTCCAGACAATTGCCTCCACCCTGGCAAAGGTTGCATCACAGATCATCGGGTTCCTAATGGAAAACCTCGTGGTATTTTCCCCAAACGGGAAACCTCGCGGGGCGATTTCGCTTCGAATAATCAGGCGGCGCGTCTCTGGCTAAAGGGGCGGGCAAGTGGTTGGCAGGGGCGGTCGCCGCAGAGGCTGCCGGTCGGTGCTGCCCGACCTGAGCCCCTGCGCGAGGGGCAGCGGAGGAGGGCCGAACGGGGATCGGTGGCGGGGAGGCCGGGTTCTGCAGGACACTGGCGTGGTTAATATTCATTATTGAGCTCACGATAGTCAGACTGATATCGCGTTAGGATTCACGGCACAATCGCAGTGTCCGCAATGCGCAGGATAATGCCCCATCCCCGCTCTGTGTCCCTTAAACATTCAGCTGCTGAGCCATTTCCATTGCCACCTCCCGCGGCCACACAACCCGTTCGCGCTCTTCCGGTACATTCATTATGACGGCGATAACGATTCACCCGTTTATCCAGGAAAGCCACACTAAGTCGTAAGACTCATTTTCAGGAGGCTCCTGCATTTAGTTTCAGCCAAATAGTGGGAGGAAATCTGGGCACCCGGAGGAATCCCCACACGCGCGAGGGGGCAACACTCCATCCCCGCACGGATGGAAACAGCTACACGGCTTGGCTTGCCACCGGCCCGGACAGTGCGATCCGGACTGTCCGGGAATTGGCATCCGTGGCTGCGTGGCAGCAAGAATCGAGTTGTACCGAGATCTGGTGCAGGTGTTGTTATACCTTAGCTGGCTGAGATGTATGTCCATGGGTTTGGTCTGTGGAAAAGGTGGCAACCCTACCACTGACGCACAGCACCCCACAGCCTCACACAGAGAAACACTCGCACAGACCTCAGACTCACATAGAGAAACACTCGCACAAACCTCGGACTCACACAGAGAAACACTCGCACAGACCTCGGACTCACACAGAGAAACACTCGCACAGACCTCGGGCTCACACAGAGAAACACTCGCACAGACCTCGGACTCACACAGAGAAACACTCGCACAGACCTCGGACTCACACAGAAAAACACTCGCACAGCCCTCGGACTCACACAGAGAAACACTCGCACAGACCTCAGACTCACACAGAGAAACACTCGCACAGACCTCAGACACACAGAGAAACACTCGCACAGACCTCAGACTCACACAGAGAAACACTCGCACAGACCTCAGACTCACACAGAGAAACACTCGCACAGACCTCGGACTCACACAGAGAAACACTCGCACAGACCTCAGACTCACACAGAGAAACACACGCACAGACCTCAGACTCACAGAGAAACACGCGCACAGACCTCGGACTCACACAGAGAAACACTCGCACAGACCTCGGACTCACACAGAGAAACACTCGCACAGACCTCAGACTTACACAGAGAAACACTCGCACAGACCTCAGACTCACACAGAGGAACACTCGCACAGACCTCAGACTCACACAGAGAAACACTCGCACAGACCTCAGACTCACACAGAGAAACACTCGCACAGACCTCGGACTCACATAGAGAAACACTCGCACAGACCTCAGACTCACACAGAGAAACACTCGCACAGACCTCAGACTCACAGAGAAACACTCGCACAGACCTCGGACTCACACAGAGAAACACTCGCACAGACCTCGGACTCACACAGAGAAACACTCGCACAGACCTCAGACTTACACAGAGAAACACTCGCACAGACCTCAGACTTACACAGAGAAACACTCGCACAGACCTCAGACTCACACAGAAAAACACTCGCACAGACCTCAGACTCACACATTCACACGCAGTCCGGGGTTGCCATCAGCCCAGATTCGACCCGCAACAAAAATATATTTGTAGCGAGACCAGCTGATACCGGTATTGTGCCCAACTCTACTAAACTGCACACTTTTGATAAGAGGCCCAGTGCTGAGTGAGAAGTAAGGTCTGCACGGGGTTGGTCTACGGTGGGAGGAGAGGCGATGGCGACACCTTCGTGGTCAGCGCGAGGCCCCTCCGGAACGTTCGAGCCAGAAGCGAAACGAGCGTGGGGCCAGGGGGTGCCTCATCCCCGCCACTCCCCCCGTCCCCTGGTGGCCAAAGCTACGAGTTGGGGTCCCTTGACAACCACCAAGAGATATGTTTTCAACAACAGTGTTAAAGAACAAAAAACGTAGTTTGCGAAGACGGAGCGCCCCTACAGCATTACATGTTTGAGACCGTCATGGTGTGATTAGACAACACGAACCGCGAAATGCAATAGCCGAGGTGCGACCGTGCGAGACAAATCAAATAATTGGGCCCCACCTGACCGATTGCCGCACCCCCTGAGCTGACAATGTTGTCACTACGCCACTGACTCGGCCTTGGCTGAGAGTCGCCGCCCGTGAGGAAGGGCCTCTACCCGGCACGCCGGCCTGCTGAGTGGGCGAGTGACACTGGCACGGGCCCCATGCTTGCGCCACAAGGCCTCACTTTGCTGGGCCCGCACCGAGCTCGAGTACATCGCGATATGTTTCGTGCCGTGCAGACTTCCCTACGTAGAGATTCTCACAGTGATGAGTCGCTACTGCGGTATGCTATCATATATTTGACATCGGATACGTCAAAGTGTTTACCAGTGGCACACCACTGCTAAACACTTTAAGGCCTCGATACGCACTGGAGCAGAAACCCACTCTGATTTTGAAGAGAGGCGCCCTGCCACCAGACAGGGCGTGCACACGCACGCGGCGTCGCCACGGGTAAAGAGGAACCCGCTGAGTCGCAGTCGGCCAGAGGGCAGCATCCTCAAATGAATTCGGTTCCGAATCCGGTAAAAAAAAATGGCCCAGGTATAATTAAACGCGTATCCAGCCGGAACCCAGAGCCGCAGTGCCTTGCAGGCTCAAGGCGGTGATTTTCTTTCTTAAATGAAGTAATCAACGACACCCGTAAGCCGGCAGTGAAAGTCCTTTTCAATTATTCAAACGAGCATTCTCCTCTCTTGCTCCGCATTATTCTGTGGACCCTGACAAACGATTAATTCGCCTCCACCGCAGCTCTCTCGTCGTCGCTGGAGCGTGCCCCGTCCCGTCAGAGCCCCCCCTCCCCCAAAAAAAGGGAGCCGCACGACGAGAGAGGCCGCATCTCGACTGCGAGGTGCGGTGGCGTCGCGACTGGCAGTGTGCGGGATATTTACGATGGCGACTTCTGCTTCTGAATCGTGCGTGTGAGTGTGAGCGAGTCCGCCCGCACGAGTGCGTGAGTGCAGAGGCAGTCCTCTCGGTCAGAACAGCTCTTGCGAGAGGCCAATGAAGGTGACGTGACCGGATTCTTTGTAAGTTAAACGAGTTTCCTCAATGGGCGTGAACCCAGCAAGCCACGGCCAATGCGAGGCCCCCACCCCCCTCCCACACTGGGGGGGGGGGGACGCCGCGCTCGGTTCATGAGAGGGCGCGCTGCGAATTCCGCATCCACATGACACATGGACATTGGTTATTGATATTCATTATTGACGTTGATATTGATTATTGATATTCATTTCGCACAGCTGCTGCTTCTTCACTTCGGCTTCGATTACTTGAAAGTTCAAGAAGTCGGGGCCCAGCTTGATTTGCGATGTGTTTACCGGTGCGGAGACATCCCACAACGATTAACTATCTTGCAGCGTTGCCGGCGGTGTAGATCGCGTGTTTATGGTAATTCCAGATATTAAACTAATTCAGCTTAAGGTCAATTCTTCCGAAATCTCTGTTGGAATCTCTGCTGGAATCCCTTCTGTAGCCGCCTCGCTCCCACGCGCTCCAATAGTGGCGTGCGTCTCTTCTGATGCTGCTGCTGCTGCTCCCAGGCGAGGTTGCGCGCCCGGGATCCCACGAGCCACGCTCGCATTGTGCACGGAGCGCGTTTGATTGGCGTCTCGTTTCCCCCACAGCAGCTATGCCGAAGGGCGGGAGATGTGGGGCCGATATCACCGGACAGGCGAGACTGCGAGCAGCGGTCGAACGAGCGACATCAGCACAGCTGTGCATGGTTGGTGATTTAAAAATGCCGTTTCAAATCATTCAAATGTTCAGTGCCATTGCTCTGACGACAAAAAGAAACGCAAATCTGTTCGCCTTTTAATAACCCAGGCGCACACCGAGGCGCCGTGGGCAGAGCGAGCAGCGCCGCCCGGCTCCGCTGGGCTCTCATCACCGACCACAACGCCGCCCGGCTCCGCTGGGCTCTCATCACCGACCACAACGCCGCCCGGCTCCGCTGGGCTCTCATCACCAACCACAACGCCGCCTCCTCCACTTCCTCTTCCAGGCGCGCGGCTCCGGTGCAGGCGAGGGCCCCAGCAGCAGCAGCAGCATCCGGCGAGCAGACATTAAAGCGTACAAGTTGGCACGCGGCATAAATAAACATAAGTTTAAATAATCCACTCCTATTGCTTAGCGTATTGAGAAGCAGTTGGTGGTGCGTTCAGAACGCCTTCACTGGAGCTCAGCAACTTGACAGCAGCATCAGAAAGAGGAGGAGACGGCGGAACGGCATCATTGGTCGCCTCCACTCCGTCCCCAGCCAGGGGGCCGTAAATAAACCACGAGCCCCGGCCACGCCACATTCGAGTGCGGTCGACAGGGAGGAGATTGCGCTGGCTCGGACGTTCACGTGGGAAGGTGGACAGCGCTGCAAAGTGGGGATGATGGACGATGGTTCAGAGTAATAACGAAGCGGTAGCCAAAGAGATGGAACCACCAGCGTCCGTTAGGAAACCCGCCAAGCAGAGAGCGGGAGCGATGAGAACCAGATACAAAAACATCTCAATATATAGGGAACCGCAGAGCTTGAGGAGTTGAAAGCGCCGGCTCATCGCGTGGCTGCATCCTCTCCCGCTCGTCTGTGGCTCCTCTGAGTCGCCCTGCCTCTGTGTCACAGCCATGAGTGGACACGGTGGAGCGGCGGCGGCGCAGAGTCACAAGTTGATGTTATCATCATCATTCCTCTTCATCTCACCACCCGAAAGCATTGTCATGATGACAGAGCCGCTCGTGTTGGTTGGCATTGCGGATGACGTAGCGGGGATGGCACCACGGCGCTGGCGGCGGCTGTCGCGTTGGTGACGTCACAAGGCCCACACTCGGAGCGCGGCGCAACGGGAGGCGACTGCGAAGCGGTCACGTGGCCGCCGAAGGGCTTTCACGCGAGGCCAACTCGACCCTCCAGTGAGGTCATCACCGCTGATGGTCTTCGTCACAAACAACTCAACACACTCGTCAAGAACACTTCCTAAAAACACAAATACGTATATATAAAATATACAATGAGGTATACGGTAATGATGAAGGATAGTCGCCCGAAACATCGCATGTTGCCACGCAGTGTTATTGACGCGGAGTGTGTGGGGATGTCGTTTTTGTTGTCTGTGCTTGTACACCGCTGCCATCGCAGCAGCAGCATCGTCTCCAGATATAAATTATTCTGAACCTGCATTCGTTATATTTTGATGCCCGTGGTAGCATCACGAGGAACGGGTGATTTGATTTGTTTCATATGCAAATAATAAAACCCGCCCAGGGCACCACTAAATATCAACATCTGTGCACACAAACAACACTGACCTCGCCGCATTCGCGTGCATTCCTCCCGCACAAAGCGCCGGTTTCACATCGCGTCAGCGTCAAGCGTGGCACTCCGCCCAGGATGTCTCCTAGGGGACGCTTCCTCTGTGCTCGCGTGTCCTCAGCGGGCAGGCGCTGGCCACCCACCCCCTCGTGAGCCGTGCCGGCCTTCATAGCTGCTCGCTAACAGCACTTGCCCCAACAGTCTACACAGGCTATACGGGGTGATCTGTGTCATTGTTCTGTTTGACTGAGAGCATCGCGTGTGGGTGGTCACATGACACGCACGCCAGGCACGCGGACGTGAGTGGTGCCTTCGTCACGCTGTCTGAGCAGCAGCAGCAGCAACAGCAGCGCGCTATCGCTTGCTGCCGTTGTGATTGGGAGTTCTCAGCACAATAATTCAATGTCCAGCTGCAGCCGGTAGAATTCAACATAAAGCTGTCGGGTGATTGATCATCATGATCTAGCAACCACTGGTTCACTCCAATCACTCGTGCACCGACGGTCAGTCGCCTCCTTGTCACTCTTCTCTCGCTACCATATGGCCACTGTTCTCGTGAACTTAACTCGTTGATTTCTTCACCCTTGTTGAGAACTCGCTCGACCAGTTTGACAGTTCCATCTCATCCCCACCGCGCTCAACCACCACACTGCAGGTCACAACGACACACCCACCCACACACTCATCTACCCACTCACCTTACACATTCACTCACTCCCCACATTGCATGTCACCTCACTTCTCTTTCAGTGTGTTCCCTCGCACTGCTCCACTTTGGGTTCACCTCCTCCCATCGTGGTTTATTCTCCCAAACTCCTATCATTATAACATTAACCTTACTCAGTTCCAGAAACGTCTACACTCTTAGCCATTACAACGTTGGCAGTGCTGCTTGTTGCTGGCCGCTTGACATGTGGCGCCGTGGATGGGGGTTGTTATTTTGTTGTTTGGAGACCACGTGAGGTGGGGAAACAAATTACTCGTGGCGCTCGCGGGGATCGAAGCCCGGAATGCCGGCGAGATGAGAAATGGCACCGCGCTTGGAGTCATCCATCTTGGAGCTCTGACAGCGCCGCGTCGGGGCGAGCCGCCTGCAGGTGAGGCCGGGGTCCGTCCCTGCTGCGGACTCTGACCTCTACTGGAGGGAACGATGCCGGCTACAGTGGAAGAGCGAGCAGATCGGAATCAGTCGGCGGGGGGGGGGGGGGGGGGGGGCACGCTGCAGCCGGTAACCCATCACTGTGGAGGCAGCGGAAAGGAGGTTGGTGGATCACGGCACACAGATGTCGTGAAACTCCCTTCGCCTCCCCTGGCTCGACCGGAGAACGTGGCACAGCAGTGCAAACCAATATAATCTGTCCCTTCTGTATGGGATACAGTGTTGCCCCCTCGCACCTGTGGGTTTCCTGCTGGGGCGCAGGTTTCCTCCCACGTGTGTAAACAACTCGTTAATTGGCTGAAGATATCTTGATACTAATACAGGACCGCAGAGCCTGGACAGTTATTGGTGCTGGCTCACTACGTGGCTGCCTTCCAGTTTGTCTGTGGTTCCTCGGCGATTGCGAGATGCAGATTTCATCATCCCTCCGGGGCGATGCTATAAAGTGGCTCCACACGGCTGATGATGGTTTCGAGTGAATCGCCTCTCTCCATCTCTGTCGTTATGCTAATTAATTGCTGAATGTTCAGACTCGCTTGAACCAATGCTGGCGAGGGTCATTGCCGAAACACAGCTGGCAGTTCAGGGATCAACGCTTGGCATTACAGGTAGAGCAACATGCGACTTAGGGAACATACGCAGGTGAATTACATCATCCAAACGATATATAAATGGGATTGGGGAATAGCGCGCCGCTGCTGGAAGGGGTGATGGACGTCATTCTGCGTTTCGTCTGCAACATCGAACTTTGCTTGAACCAATCCCGTTGAACTGCCAGACGTTTAGAGGCAGGGGCCTTCTCTGTTCGCCGTGGGTCCCGGCATTGATTGACTTTGGCAATGGGGCCGGTTGAGGCTGGCGTGAAGACGAACCGCTGTGCCAAGCCGGGCAGCCGTGCTGCACGGGAACGCGGCCCAGTCTCCCTGCTGGAGGGAGCTGTAATCAATCACCACGCAGACGATCCCTGCAGGATCATTCTCCCAGAGTAGGAGGAGGACAAACACCCGAGTGACATTGTGGCCCACATCAAGGTCGTGGAGGTTAGGTTCAGGGAAGGCAACATCTGCTGTGGACACCAGGGCCTGATGTCGGAGCCAGAGAGTTCATTTGACAAGCAAAGAACTTGGGCCTAAGTGGGCCACGTTCAAGGGCGACCTGGTCACGTTGGCCACGCGCGTCAACTGGAGAGATGACGTGGGCAGACGACGTATTTACAGTTCCCGTCAGCGTTGGTGTAAGGTGCAATCATGTAGGCAAAGGCGTGCATGGTAAATTGTAGAGTTGCCACCTCTCCGAGTTTGACTCGGACACTCCGGGAACTAGTGTCGGTGTTCGGATATTAGGAGTTAATTTGTACGGACATCTGGTATGGGTACCGGTATTGTATTGCAATGAACTTTACAATACCGATGTAGTGACATATAATGGGTCACTACGGCGACTAGCGCCAGTTACTGCTAGAGAGGTGAACTGGGAGTGTAGTAGCCCTCTCTGCCAGCTATGTCATGGAAAAGGGTCCCTAGGGGACATGGTTCTGGTGGCTGGCAGAGAGGGGGCATCTGAGGACGTAGCAGTCCTGTTGGCTTGCAAGAGCACGTGACAGGACAATGTAACGTTTTGGCCCAAAGGTGAGAGAAGGGACACGTGATGTATGGCTCAGAATCTTCTGATAAGTTTCAGAAGGGGGCGTGGCACAGGGCGGAACCAGGCCACGCTGGGGGGCATAAAAGGGAGGTCCCATCGGGGCTGTCTGCTGGAATGGAACCCGCCGTGAGACGTCTTCTCCTCGGACTCCGGTCTTCGTGCTCGGCATCGTGGGTCGGGCAGTGTGCCGACTGACCTGACCCGTTTATATAGTTACCCCGTGGTGGTTACCGGTTATGCAGTTACCCCGTGGTGGTTACCGGTTATGCAGTTACCCCGTTGTGGTTACTGGTTATATAGTTACCCCGTTGTGGTCGTAGAATAAACCCACGACACCGCTATTGGCCCAAACTCTCCCAGTCATTGCCGCTTCATCTCCGTTGCACTGCTGCACGTGTCCGACAGTCGCGCGCAACAAGCAAACCGAGTCCGTCTCCATTCCTTCTGTTCTTCGTGTTGCTGCTGCTGCTGCTGCTGAAGTGAATCGATGGAATCCTCTCGCAGAACAAAAGCACAAGTAGTAGAGTTGTTGATAGAGTGAACCTACCTGCATTAGGGCCCAGGCGTGGTCGCCCGGCCGGTTTCACGCGCGCCGTCGTTGGGTGGGCTGGCGGTGGCGTCGCGGGCGATGAGAGACTCCCTCCCGTGGCCGTGCCGACAGCGCCTCTCCCCACTTCGCCTTGCGAACCCGCGCCTTTGAAATGCTCAGCCCATCGCTCGTAAAAACTATATATATGCGAATAAACTGATGGCAAACAAATAAAAACACATCGATGACGGCGGCGAATGGGCTGTGGGGTGATGGAGCCACGCAGAGGCTCGGGCTGCAGTCGATGCGATGCGCGCGTGTTCCCATTGCAGTGGTGCCCGAGTTGCTGCGGAACTTCGATGGTCACGGCACGAGGAGAGGTTCACAGCTGCTCAGCTGTGCTGATGTCAGTCGAGCGAAACTGATCATGCTACGTCCTCAGGGAGCCGCGGTGCACTTCTTCGGGAACTGTTGGTGTTTTTTAAATCATGCACAAATGCCGTGCTGGTTACACGTGCTTTTGTGTTGTTGTTGTTGTTGTTGTTTGAAAAGTGTGGCATTCCAACCTGATCTATTCTTCTGTTATGATGATGGGGTATTCTCGTCATCTACATTTTTGATTGGTGCTGGAGAAGACGAGTGGACAGCAACGAGAAGTGACGAGAGCCCGCGGATGACAACGCTCGACCGCACGCCTGAGCGCTCTCCACGCATGGAAGTGACGTGGGACGGAGTTATCGGCGTGGTAGGGAACACCTGGGGCGACTGCTGATGTTTGGTACAAAGTGGAAGTGGTAAGCCGAGGCTTGGCTGGCCGGCTGGTGAATCGTTGGTGGTCAGGGGTACGGGTTAAGCGTCTACCCTGGCAAGTCCGTTCCGCACACAAACACCACGCCGCCCCTCTTCGTCTGTCCGTTTGTCGTCCCCGCTAAAGACCACGCGGCACACACAAACACCACGCGGCACACAAACACCACGCGGCACACAAACACCACGCGGCACACAAACACCACGCGGCACACACAAACACCACGCGGCACACAAACACCACGCGGCACACAAACACCACGCGGCACACACAAACACCACGCGGCACACACAAACACCACGCGGCACACAAACACCACGCGGCACACAAACACCACACGGCACACACACAAACACCACGCGGCACACACAAACACCACCCGGCACACACACAAACACCACGCGGCACACACACAAACACCACGCGGCACACACAAACACCACGCGGCACACACACAAACACCACGCGGCACACACACAAACGCACGCGCGCCACACAGACACGCGCTACGCACGCCAGCAACGCCATAGCGA